CTTTCCCGGCCACCACCACCCGTACCCGCCGCCGCCGTTCCCCGCCGTCCACGGCCGCAAACGGGCGGTGATTTGCGGTATATCGTACAAAAACACCGAACACGAACTTCAAGGCTGTATTAATGATGCCAAGTGTATGAAATATTTGCTGGTCAACCGATTTAACTTCCCCGATTCCTCCATTCTTATGCTCACTGGTAATTTCTTCTTCTGATCTCCATTTAATTAATTACTTTTTCGTCTTTAATTATTATTTTTTTTCTTTGGACATGTGTTCGATCCTTTGATTATGGTTCTGATTATAAATTGATAATTTTTTTTGTTTGTTATTTAGTTTGGGATATTTGATTAATGGCTATTTTGGAAGTTAATTGAGTGATTGTTTTAGATATGGAATTGATGGAGCAGTTTAAAAATTAGAAAATGGGAACTACCCATGATTTTTTTTCTTACTAGTTTGGTCTCTGTTTTTGTTACGAGGGAGGGGTGTTTTTGTAATTAAGTGGTTTCGAGTTCAAGTTCCTTACCATTGATAGTTTACTTGTTAGGTTTTGTACTAGTTAAATAATTATTCGAGTTAATGTTTAGAATGCATTGAAAAGAAAAAAAATTTAATCCATCAATTTAAATTTTTTGGAATTTGAGTTTTGTGGGCCTGTTAATAATTTTGAATCTACACGATGAAGTGACTAATAAGAACATGTGATAGATTTTTCAGGATTAAACAATACATTTTAAGAAATTATGATTAGATAAGAAAGTGTTCTGTCATTGTTTGCTACAATTGCAGACAATTGAACAATCATGGGCCTCTTTTGACTAATTAAAAGCATTTTTTAACATTTGTAATGATAAAAAAAAAAGTTTGAGCAACTCTAAAAACAGATTAAAAAAAAAAAAACCCTGAAGAGGAAGCATTTAATTAATTTTCATCTCTGAAGATGAAGCATTTAATTAATTTTCATCTAAAATTATTACAAAAGGAATTTTTTCAAAAGGCATCACACTTCAAATGCTAACCGGAAAGTAAGACTTTTTTCTCCCGCTTACATATCTTAACTCGAACTCTTGTCTCAACTGAACGATAAATAATCTAACGGATAATTCACAATAAACATTGATTGACAACTTATGATATGAAGTCATTTTGCAGATGAAGAAATAGACTTCTACAAGCGTCCAACAAAGCAAAACATCAGAATGGCACTTCAATGGCTTATGCAGGGCGTTCAATCAGGAGACTCTTTGGTGTTCCATTTCTCTGGCCATGGTTTGCAGCAGAGGAACTTCACCGGTGACGAGATCGATGGCTACGACGAAACACTCTGCCCGTTGGATTACGAGACCGAGGGAATGATCATCGATGACGAGATCAACGCAACAATAGTTAGGCCTCTCCCTCATGGTGCTAAGCTCCATGCCATCATAGATTCATGCCATAGTGGGACTATGTTGGACTTGCCATTCCTCTGCAGGATGGACAGGTTAGTACTTAGTCGTCATTCGTCATTCGTCATTCGTCATATTTCTATCGACAAAACACTAATCAAAAGAAAAACATGTTTGGATGACTGTTTCAAAGAACGACATGTTTTTTTGAACAATGTAATTAGTTGTTATTTCTACACGAAATCATAAATTTGTGAAATCATAAATTTGTGAATAGTGATTATAAACATAGGAGCTCCATATTTAGGCAAAGTTTTTTTTTAATTTCTTTTTAATTATTGGCAGAAGTGGAAGGTACTTATGGGAGGACCATAGACCTCCATCAGGTGTATATAAAGGAACAAATGGTGGAGAAGTGATCTCTTTTAGTGGCTGTGATGATGACCAAACAGCTGCAGATACTCAAGTAAATTCTCAAACTCTTTTGCTATTTATTCAACCTTAATTAATCCGAATGTTTCATGAAAAAAAGATACTAGAGTATAATCGGGTCGGTGCTCGATTTTTAGCTAAATCATAGCTACCAAACTAACTAAACAGGCTAGCCAGCGTAGGAAGTGACATGACTAAAATAGAATTAATAAACCAAACTATCTAATCATAATTAATCAAATTGGTCCAACTTTGTATTAAAAGAAAATAAAATTGGTCGAACAACTAAGAACATGTTTGGGAGTAATTTTGACATAGCAAAAACCATTTTGGCTATTTTCTAAAATCATTTGTATTTTATTATAAAAAAAATCACTTTTGTCATTGCCAAAATCACTCTCATTCAAAACCTACCTATGATGAGATCAAATTATTCCATTTTGAAATTAGAGTGGAGAAAAGAGAAGTAAACTTTTGCAACACAAGATTATATAAGACCATTGCCAAGTGATTAGAAAAAATTATATGGAATGGTTTAGAGGAGGAAATTAACTAAGATGACGCTTCATGTGGACAGGCTATGTCAAAGGTTACTACCACGGGTGCCATGACATTTTCCTTCATCAAAGCCATTGAAAGTGGACGAGCTACAACATATGGCGACATGTTAAATTCAATGAGGTCAACCATTCGAAATACTGATGTTAGTTCTGGAGGTGATATTGTCACAAATCTCATCACCATGCTTTTAACAGGAGGAAGTCTTTCAGGAAGACTCAAACAGGTATACCTTTTACTATAATTCTAAATTAAAAGATTTGGGGTAGAATTGAAGATATTTAAATGAAAAAAGGGGAAAAAGCCATCAACTCCTAATTAAAATGTTAATCCAATTCGTCCACTCGACTCTCTTTAGCATATCCTACATTTTTTGGAGATGTTTTAGCCTTTAGGAGGGGAAAAAAAGAAAAAGATAAAAATAATTAGCCATAAAACTTGATTTTTTAAAAACTGGTTTTTAGAAAAAAAGAAAACAGTAAAGAAAGAAAGGAAAATAAACAAAACTTCAAAAAAAATATAAAAATATAAAAAAATATATATAAAAACTCATTAAAAGGCGAATACACAAATAAATTCAAACAAGACTCTTTAATATCCGATGTACTTCTTACTTTCAAAATATTAGATTATAATGGAAAAAAGTAGAATCTTACTTATATATTTATTTATTTTACTGCAGGAACCTCAATTGACTGCCCATACAACATTCGATGTGTATAGAAAACCATTCTCGATATAACATAAAATTAACAAAAGTGAGTAAAGAAGAGTTTGAAGTTATGATCGTGATTAGAAAGTCAATGTCGAACTACTTGAGCGATATTCAAGTTGACTACTTTCTTTCTTATTTGGAGTCAATACAATATCATGTATTTACAGGTTTTTTGATTACATTTTGCTAATACAAAAGAAATATATTGTTACCATTGAAATTATATCATCCTCTTTGCTAATGATTATCATGAGTAATCATTTACTTAATAAGTTTTTTTTTTTTAAGTACAACATATTAGGGTGGGAGTTCGAACTCCTAATCTGTTGGTTGAAGATATGTGTCTTTTACTGTTCGTTTTGGTATCTAATATGTTTGAATAATGTGTAAACTTTGGTCATCTTTTCTCTAAATAGAGGCATCAACTGTTGGGTTTCATCAAACGATGAAATTTACTATATTGCACCACAGTACCTCAAATTAAGGAGAACTATTCAAATCATTTCTTGGCCTACTAATTGTTTAAGAGTCTTTTTTGATGCGTTAGTATGTAGTAAAACTAATAATTAATAAAATAAATAGTGTCCTTCAATGAAATGGTTTGAAGGGTATATCTGGGATGTAAATCCTCTATGAAATGATAGATCAATGATTTAAATCGAATAACTTAAATTTAATAATTTATATCAATGATAATAATGGATATTATAAAAGTAAAGAGGTGTAAATTGAATTGATATTTGAGGGAAATAATATAGTGATTAAGTTTTCAATTTTAAAACAAGTATATATATATATTAATACGAAATATATGTAAATTAGTGCTGAACTATACTCGCTTAGACCAATTTAAGTGAATAGATCCATAAACAAAATCATATAGAGTTCACTTGCTTATCCATGTATACGTTTTGATTACAACAAAATATTACTTAAAAAAACTTAATTTTTTTCGCAAGTTATAGGGACTAAATAACTAAAAAAGTACAATAAGAAAACGTTATATTAGCCAAAGGATCAGACCAAAAACGTGTTCAAATAAAAACTCTATATTGCTAACTGTTATTAAATTATAGCAAATACAATACAATTAGCAAAAGTATTAATAATTTTTAAAAGTTTTACGTTTCAAATCTCTACCTTATTAAAGGAGGAACAATTTTTAAAATTTTTTCTTTTTTTGTGCTCAAGTTGACGGAGAGAATTTAATAACATTAAATGCTTTTTTTAGTAGAACAAGTTGCTGATGAAAGATTCAAACTCATGACTTTTTAGTAAGAAACATGTGTTAATTATCGCACAGTTAAACTGAATAATATTTAATGATTCAGGGGAAGAGAGGAAAAGGGCAAGAAGATATTAGATTTTTTTTTAGACTTCATAAACACTTCTTAAATGAATTAATTAATAATAAAAACGAATAATCGGACCATTAAGATTAGCTAAAACATTGTCTACAACAAATTCTCTCAAAATATGCCATCTCCCTAATAATTGATAATATACGGCCCAGCCCAGTCAGATTTAAAGATTGGGCCAGCCCAAGTATGGGATTAACCTAGGGTTTCTACAAATATATGAGGGTTCCCGCTAGACGCGAGACAGTGGCTGGAAGTCGAAGAGAAAGGTCACTCTGCTCCGCCGCGTTGTAAGTTTTCGTCGCCTCCAATTTCTTCATATCTCTGATCAGCTTCGCCGTTTCTTTCTGAATGAATGTGGATATACAAATGGTTGCGCATCACTGTATTTCGATCAGCGTTGTGAATATTTTGGATACAAATTGTGGTGCAACCGCTTTTCTGCTTCTCGGATAGCGATTTCGTTGATTTTTTGCAAGTTCATCTTGATTCTCTTTCTGCAACTGGGATCCATGATTCAAGTATTTTTCTTAACATTTTAATCTCTTGTGAAAATTTTCTCGATAGTCGATGTGCCATGTATCTTCGAGATTTTTTTTTAATCAGGCGGCTGATTTATTTATGTGTTGTTTCTGTTGAGCATTTTCATTGCAGTAATCATATTCATGTCTTTCTTTTTTGAGTGTCTGTTTTGAGTTTTTGGATTTCCACTTCTCTCTCGTTTTAAGGTTTTATACCTCTCTTTCCTTTTGCTTTCTACTACTGTTTGTCAATAAGTTTTTACCGTTGCTTTGCTGGATTAGAAAAGGCTCCTGGTTCTGATTTATGCTGTGTTGAAAAGATCGTAAAAAGCTTTTTATTTTCCTCCCAATGTCTAATGTATCTGGAAGAGTCCGAGTTTGGTTTGATGAAAATGATTTTGTTTGAGTTGTTCTGTGCTTTCTTAGTCGTTGTAGTTTTTTTTGTTGATATGTTTACTCTAAACTGTACGCATTGGAAGATACTCCAGTTTCTGTTCGATATAATATCGGTGTTTTAGCATTCTGTATGAGTGGATCCAAGTTTTGGTTCAGCTGCTGCTATTATTTTCAGGAGAACGGCATCGCTTTGAAAACCTTTTTATGAGTACTATTATTGAATTCGTTTCCACACTATCTTTTAGAAACTGTTAAAATTGGATGATATTATGATATATATATATATATATTAATTATTGAGCCAATTAGGTGAATGCCTTAGATTCCTGGCTATTCCCCTTGCATTTTTATTGATACTGCTTCTTATTTCTGGTTTGTTAGAGGTAAACAATGAAGCACAACAATGTTATCCCGAGTGGGCACTTCCGGAAGCACTGGCAGAACTATGTCAGAACCTGGTTCAATCAGCCTGCCAGGAAGACCAGAAGAAGAAATGGTCAGTGTTGTTTGTGTTTTGAATGTTTTTTAATTGGGGTCTGTTCATCTCTCCAGCTTAAAATATTGGAATCTGACTATTGACTTTGCTGAATCTACAATCAGCTCGTCAGGAGAAGGCTGTGAAGAATTTTCCCCGACCAACCGCTGGACCACTTCGACCCATTGTTCATGGGCAGACATTGAAGTACAACATGAAAGTGAGGGCCGGTAGGGGCTTTTCTCTGGAGGAGTTGAAGGTATACAGTTCTTTTTGTTTTCTTTTTCCTCTATTTTTAGTTTTTAGGCCCGAGTTGCGTGACCCCATCCTCCTTTCATTAAGATCTTTGTGGTCGGGTTCTATGGTAGCCGATAATTGTTAGTTAGTTTATTAAGATCACTCAAATCAAAATGTTATTCCTCTCTACTTTCAGCTTACAAACTGAATCTTCTACTTAGCTGTATATTTGTATGGATCCTGTTATTGTGTCACTAGGATGGTTTTATTGTCATTTAGATTAAGAATTGTGGTTCTGGATCACCTATATGGCATCTTGACCATTGTGAGTTTGCTCTCCAGGCTGCTGGTATTCCCAAGAAACTGGCACCGACAATTGGAATAGCAGTCGACCATCGCAGAAGGAACCGCTCTCTTGAAAGTCTACAAGCCAATGTGCAGAGGCTGAAGACTTACAGGGCTAAAGTGGTCGTCTTCCCAAGACGTGCCCGCAAATTCAAGGTTCGTTTATCTAATATAGTAAGGCTTTGGTTGAATGTTATCGAATGTACGTGATGCCTTATCTGAACATTCTGGTTGTAGGCTGGTGATTCTACTCCGGAGGAGTTGGCAAATGCCACCCAAGTCCAAGGACCATACCTGCCCATTGGACGTGAGAAACCAGGCGTTGAGCTTGTGAAGGTCACCGAGGACATGAAATCATTCAAGGCATACGACAAGCTACGTTTGGAGAGGACCAACGAACGACACGTTGGTGCTAGATTGAAGAGGGCAGCAGAGGCCGAGAAGGAAGAGAAGAAGTAAGCCTGCTAGAACAACTGCTTAGGGGGGTCTTTCTATTTTCCTAATTTTGGTATTTTTTTTGACCTTCTGGATTTGACATATCTTCTGGACTTGGTTAAATTTGGGAGATTAAAGTTCTTGAGTTAATGGATTCTACTGTTATTGTCGTTGGTTTTGTGTTAATCTGTACCACATTGTTGTTTATTGTTTCTTAATAGCTTTGCAATCGTTGCATATTATTTGGTAGTCGATAATACTTTTGGGCACGAAACTGCGGGTAGAATTTGCTTGTTTTGTTTTTCGTTTTTAATTTCAACAACGGGATTGAACTTTCAATTTCAAGGAGGGGAGTAATAGGGCATGGCAACGATGGGAAGGTTAGGTGTTTAGAATTCTCGTGTTTTCGTTAGTAATTTTAAAACTTTTATTAGTTGAAGAAAGGAAGTAAGTACTTAATCTCTTCATTATGCATTATCAATGTGTAGTGGGAATTGAAAAAGAATTGACAACAAAATTCACCCAATTCCTACTCCGGAGTACCGTATTCTTTTTTTCGCATTACGTTGGTTGAAAGAATATCCATACTCCTATAATATCAACAATTTTCTCCAACTCCCGGAGCAAGAGTAACGTTTGTTCTGTGCTTTAGCTTATTTTTTTCTCCGGCTTTTCTTACATTTTTGGTGACAAAAATTATCCAATTGCTCACATTTTTGTGACAAATTATCCAATTGTTTCTTTTTCCTCATTTTTTTTATAGAAGATCCAATCTAATCACAATTAGCTTATAAGCTTTTAAAAAATATAATATTAAATAAAATATTGATTTGTTTATTAGAGACGTAACGAATTAATGCCCCTTAAAATATTTTAGGATTACATTATAATTGTTGGATATTTGTTAGACAATAACGCTAATTTTTGATATCAAGTACTCATTTTACAGGTAAAGGTATTCAAAAAGGAATTCAGTTACTCACCATCTGATTGGGTAAACTGAATTATTGGAACTAATTGTAGTTATTTCAAAATCTAACTGGTTATTCGATAAAACAAAGCTCTTTTTCTTGGCAATCAATGTTTTGTTTGTCATTAGTAGATATCTGAGATTATTACATGAACAAATTCATTTTTTTACTACATATTATATATAAAATGGACAGTACTAAAAGATTTTTATGAATGAATTAGTATAAGGGTGTTAAAAAAATCCGACAACCCGATGAATACAATTAAATCTCGATATGGGTTGGGTTTTTGGTCGACCCTTAAAAAATTTGAGTCGACCAAACCCAACCTGAATACTACCTTATTTATATATTTTTTTAAATAATAAGTATATAATATTTTTTTATCTTCAATCTCAACCGTGAGTTCAATTTTAATCTCATCCTTCATTTAATTTTTAGGATTTTCTTCTCATCTTCCTCCCTCATTTCGATTTTGATATTCAAAATCAAAATTTCTCTCCTGTTGTCTCCTCACTCAAGCTCCTCTGCACCTGTTGTCGCCCACCGCACCTGCAGTTCTGTCGTCGCTCGCTGCCCGTCACCACCAATTGTCGCCCTGCAGTTCCGTCGCAAATCGCTGTCCTGCACCTGTCACAAATCACTGCCCGCTACATGGCCCTGCAGTCCAGTCGATGATCGTCGCCCGCCTGCGCAACAGCTCCAATCGCCGCCCATCACTGTTGCCATCTACGTTGCAGCAGCTTCGGGTATTTTTTTTTCCTCTTTTGCAGTTTTTTTCTTCCGCAACAGAATTTTTTTGCTTTGAAAAAAGGGCAATCCGACCCGACTCGAATTTTTTGGTTGGGTTGGGTTGGCCAGCGATTTTTAGCCCGATGGTTCCCGCATAACGCAAAGGTCCCAAAAATTAAATTTAACTCGATCCAACTAAACCCATAACACCCTAAGTGAGAAGAGGTATGTCGTATATACAAAAACTATTGAGTATGTCCTTTACAACACCATTATGCCCCGCTACGGTTTGGTTTATCAAAATTTCTCCCAGTTTGAGAGAGAAATTCGGTTAATTAAAACTAATTCACCAGAGAAACAATTAATTGACCAAAAGAGATTACAAAAAAACCTAATTGACCAAAAGCGTTACGAAATTATAAGTTCTGTTGAGAGAGGCGAGGAGTATAAATAGGATTTAAAAGGAGATAAAATCAAACCATAGAAATTGGTGGGGAGACTGAGTCACAGAGAGTGAGAGAGGGAACGAAGTAGCAGCAGCAACAGGTAGATTACCGGACGGCGAACGGCGAACGGCGGAGTTGTACTCTTTGCAGCTTTCGTCTTCCGACTTCCAGGTTAGGGCGGCGAACTTCAACCATTTCAGCAATTCTGTAACATCTCTCTCTCTGTTTCTATGTTGCAAACTTTCTGGAATCAGCTATGAAGGAGTTTCCATTTTCATTTAAGTAAATCAAATCGTTATCCGGTGAAATCGTCTCCTTATAACTGTTCTTCTTCCTGCTTCGAGGTTACAGCCGCAGCATTATTCATCCGCTTCAGCGAATCGTTAAGCTCCCTCTCTGCTGTCGCTTTGAAATCAGCTGCGAAGGAATGACAAGAAACTGGAGGTCCATTTTCATTTTGAAGTAAATGAAATCACTGTCCGGCGGAATCGTCTTGTTACTTCCAGGTTACGGCCGCGTAGTTCAACTATTTCTGCAACTCTGTGAGCTCTCTCTCCGATGTGGCAGAGTTTTTTGGAATCAGCTGTGAAGTAATAACAAAGTATGAATCTCAACTCTTGTAGAGGACTTAATTTCAGGTTTCGGTTTATGCTATTTACTTGCAACGGTTGCTTTGCATTTTTTTGGAGAATGTTTGTTGAGTTCGGATGCATATCAACCGAAGGTGCTACGAGCTATAGAGTATGCTGATACCAGAGTATGTTTCTTTGCTCAATTGCTCAAACTTTCTGAATCATTTTTTATAATAATAAGCATCTTTATCTATTTGAATCCGCTCTCACTTTTGATATTATCGAGTATGCTGATTGAGTGAGTATGTTTCTTTGCTCAATCACTTAATCTTTCTGAGATATTTTTCTAGTAAAAGAAACTTTATCTTTCCAAATCCTCTCTCTCTCTCTCCCGATAAGAAACTTTATCTTTCTGACTATTTCTCAATAGAACTAGTTTGACTAATTTTCTGTTAAGATTTTCGACTGTTTGATGTACCATGCTCGACACGCTGTTGGTGCTGCAAGGAGAAGGCAGATTAAATTAGCATTACTCCAACGTATATGGCTTGAAACTCTGAAAGGGAGATTATCAAGAGAGATTGGCCACTATTATCTTTACATAAAGCAATTAAATTGGTGCTTATATATCAGTAATCTTGAAACTGATCATTAGACTTGAGTGATGGGTGGATTTGGTATTTATTTTCTTAGGAGGTAGTATTTCTGATGTAGAAATGAGATGTACGAGCTACGGTGCTTAGGAGATTTGTTAAAAAATTCCTAGGAGTAAAAGAAACTGTTAGTCGATTAAACCAGCTTTAAATTGTCTATGCACATGTCATTACAACGTACAGCTTATAAATGAGTGGAACAAAACTAAAACTATAATGCGGTGATGTTTTAATTGGGTTCTAATCTAACTTTTTACCTCGTCCCTTTGTCATTCACAAGCTTGTATTTTTTGTCTGCAGCATAAAGATGCAATCTGTTTTCTTGCCGAAGCCACTAATCATATCTTCAATTGGTGGAATATTTTCTGGCTTTTTGTTGCGTCCAAGTTTTATTAGAAGTGATGGAAGGTACATGTTTTACGATGCCATATCGCAGTTATTTAGGAAAAAATGCGTAAAAAAGGCCAGCAAAGCAGCTTTATATGATAAATTTATGATTAGCACGGGGCGGTATGGATGTGAAAATCAAGAAGAACCATCTAGTGACTTCTGTAACTGTTTGATTCGTGACTATTGTAAGGTTGGGAATGTTGATGCAGCCATGTCTGTTCTTGCTCATATGGAGGCTGTAGGTCTCCGTTCCTCAGTAGCATCTTATGCTTATGTGATTGAAGCTCTTGGAAATGTAGGCAGGACTTTGGAAGCTGATATCATATTTCAAGAAATGATTAGTCTTGGTTGTAAGCCAAGAGCAAGTGTCTGCAATGCATTACTAAGAGGATTTTTGAGAAAGGGCCTTTTAGATCTTGCGTCTGGGGTTCTTGTTTTAATGAGTGATTTAGATATTCAGAGAAATCAAGAAACTTACGAACTACTCCTGGATTACCATTCCAATGCTGGACGGTTGGAAGATACTTGGTCTATTATTAATGAGATGAAACTAAAAGGTTTTCAGCTGAACTCATTTGTGTATAGTAAGGTTATTGTTATATATCAGAACAATGGGATGTGGAAGAAAGCAGTGGGCATTGTCGATGAGATAAGAAAATCAGGGATTTCTATGGACATCCACATTTATAACAGCATCATAGATACATTTGGGAAATATGGTCAATTATCTGAGGCCTTAGAAGTGTTCAGAAGAATGCAACAAGATGGTGTAATTCCTGACATAACAACTTGGAATTCACTGATCCAATGGAACTTTAAAGCTGGGAATCTTGCTACCGCCCTTGAGTTATTCACTGAGATGCAAGAACAGGGGATGCATCCAGATCCTAAGATCTTCATTACTCTAATTAGCTCCTTGGGTGAGCAGGGAAAGTGGGATGTGATAAAGAAGAATCTTGATAGTATGAAACTCAGAGGACATAAGAATAGTGGCCTAGTTTATGAAATCCTAGTTGATATTTATGGGCAGTACGGTCAATTTCAGGATGCTGAGAAGTGTATATCTGCTCTCAAGTATGAAGGTCTTCTACCATCAGCCAGCATTTTTTGCATTATGGCAAATGCTTATGCTCAACAGGTTTGATGCCTGTCTTTACTCATTTTTTTCCATTACGCAAGTCCTCTAGCTGCAAAGGCTAACTAAATTTTTTATAGCCATGGTTTCTTGTTAATCATACGCTTTGCATAGAGATGTTGGATGTTTTCATTTCAATAGAATAAGTAATGATGTTGGCCATGATTACTATTTAATGATATGAAAACTTTCTTTTATTATGGTAATCAAATGCACAGGGGTTGTGCGAAGAGACAGTAAAAGTGCTTCAGCTCATGGAGGAAGAAGGAATCGAACCAAATCTTGTAATGCTGAATGTACTGATCAATGCGTTTGCTGTTGCTGGTAGGCATTTAGAGGCGTTGGCCATTTATCATCATATAATTGAAGTTGTAAGTCTTGATGAGAATCATTAGATGAAGCCACATGCAATCAAATTTCCTCCCTTTTTGTATTATCAAGATAATTTTACAATTCATCCTTATTATTTTTGCCATATTGGTGAAGGGTATCAGTCCGGATGTTATTACCTACACCACCCTTATGAAGGCATTTATTCGAGCAAAGAAGTTTCGTAAGGTGCTTACTATCCTCTGACCACTTTAATTTTTCGGCTTGATGTAAACCTTTAGTTTTAGTTGCCAACTAGTTATGCGTACTTATTAACTTTCTTTAGTTCCGATGAGTTCTCTGATTTTTTTGGATGAATTTCTTCATTTATTGTCTATGCATTAACTGAATGAGATCTCGAAACCCTGCTGGTACCCTCTAAGTGTAATCATATATTGTCCAGGTCCCTGAAATATATAAAGAAATGGAAAAGGCTGGTTGCACACCAGATAGGAAGGCCAGAGAGATGTTAAAGTCCGTAACAATGGTTCTTGAACAGAGACATGGTAAGTTCCACCTTTTTGAACCCCCCCTTCTGGTCACTAAATAGTTGCACGTACTTCTCTTTTTTGCAGATTTAATATCGGTAATGTTATATTTCTTGTTGAATGTTTTTATGATATTAATATGGCCCAAATATATTTCCATTATGAGTCTTTAAGCTGTTCATATAAACTTTTCAAAGTACCTCAGCCAGAGCAGTCCTTGCATGATTGTTGTATAATTGTTCACCACTCAGCCTCTTACGCGATGGTAAATTTAGAATGTCAAGTCATAATTTGAAAATTCATATCCGGAGAGTGGTGCACAGGCATCTAACAGAACGATCCTTCTTGAAAAATGTTGCATCTTTAGATTACAAATTTTACTGACCAGTATATTATTTTAATGGACACCAAAAGGATGGTCTTAGGAAGATGTGTGGTTTTAGTGGTGAATAAAGTTCCATGCATCCGTGTAAACCTACCAAAGTGAGAGTAAATCTTGTACATGTATTGATGCCTTTATTTTGGAAATGATGCACACTCTTTTACTGTATAGATTATCAAGTAAAAACCAATTAAAAACACCAGGAGGTTATTGCATCTTCAGCCTTCTTACCTACTACTTGAGCTTTTGAGGAATCAGGAATTGATCTACAATCAACATCAAGAAAACCGATCCTAATTTTGCTGATCCTAATGCCAGGTAAAAACTGATCCTAGTGCCTTATATATACTTCATTTGCTGTATAACTCTTGGACATATCCCCATCAATTAGTATCTATTGTATGTCTTAACAGTTTCTGACTACATGAATGACAGGCCAACCTTCAATGAACCCTGGCCCTGGGGACTACTGGAATAGACAGTTGCTGGCAATAAGTTTGGAGATGCAACGAGGTCCGTACCATAATTATACCATAAATCCTTTTATTTTTCTTAATGTTGTCTGGGGATGAGAATCTTATCCTCCAAACTGGTATAAAATATTAGTATGTTTGTTCCTCAATTTTTTGCTTGAATATTAAATTAAGTGAAAATTATATTTCACCTTATCATTTGTTTTTATGGATTTTTTTTATAAAAACAATGGTCTGTAGGTAAAATGTAGATTAACAAAAAACGACAAGGCATATGCAAAGAATAACAACAATTCAAACAAAGGAAGAATAAGCAAAGTTCAATTTTACTAACATTGACTTGTCTTAGAAGTTAGTTTGTTTCTTTCTAACCAAATCGAACTTTTTGGAATCCACAATTGCCTTAGTAATCCCATCAAGGAAGATCTGGTACTTCATTATGGAAGTGGATTATGTAAAATTAAGAACTCTTAACCATTTTGCTTGGTATTATTCTTTTTTTTTTCTTTTTAAAAAACCAGAACTTTAATTAAGAAGAATGAAACAATACAAAAGAGCATAAAAAAACGGCCCAACAAAAGGGAGCCAAACTACAAAAACGGGCTCCAATATAGCAAAATCAAACCTATTGAGTAATTACAAAAGGCTTTTGACACTGAAGCTCAAAGGGAACACAAAACTGGATAAGAGCCTAAACGTCCTTCCAAAATCTTTCGTCTCCTCTAAAAGTCCTGTTATTTCTCCGAGTCCACAAGCCTCATAGAACAACAAAAAACCTGCCTGCCACAAGAACCGACCCTTGTCCTTATACAGAGTGTGATGAAGAACCTCATTTGGTATTATTCTTCTTTACCTGCATTTGGTAAGTACTCAGCAAATTTGATTTATATAGAACTTTAGGTTTGCCAGGTCAAAACTGTTAACTGAATTGCATGTTTATAAATGCATTATGACTGGTTGCCTTGAAAAATATGAAATACTTTGTATTACATATGCTTGTGTTTGTGTGTATCATCCATTCCTCAGAAAGCCTATGCAATGTATCAGAAAGTTTCGAGGCAGACGCCTTTGGTTAAAATAGGGAAAGAAAGCTTTAGGGTCCATTTGGTAATGTTCTTGTTTTTTGTTTCTCGTTTCCAATTTTATTAAGAAATCTAAATATTTGACAACTATTTATATTTCTTGTTTCTTATTTTTAAAAAAACATTCTCAAAATTGTATAGAGAATTTTGGAAACCGCAAAAACAAGTTTTTTGTTCCTATTTCTATTTTGTTCCAACATAAATAAAGATCTCGTTTTATCGTCGTGAACTTATAGGTGTCGAGGACCATGCAATTTTATTTTCTTTATTAAAAAGAAGGAAACATAAATAAGAATCGGAAACGTTACCGTACTAGATGGGCTCTTATCAGTTACATATATATTGAAAAAGTTTTATGAGCAAAATGTCATCATTTTAATAAGGTATCAGTCAGGTAAAGCAAGTGAGGTCTGATGTTGAGGTGGAGAGGAATTTTCATGCTCAGCCAGATTTGATCTTGGGCAGCCGCAAAGGTACCAAAAACTATTCTTCTCTCAATGATAAGAACCTAGCACTTCTCACCGACATTTAAATTCTCTGTGCCATTTCCTTCCATAACCATTGCATTCTTTTTATACATGGAATTTGACTTCTCCCTCTCTTTGCTACAACAAACTGAATTTTGTACCGCTAACTTGAATATAGCTCAATGGAAAACATATATTTTCGACCAAAATTCGAGTGTTTTTATCTCCCACCAAAATTGAATTTTTTACCGTTGTTTCAAATAATTATATTTTGAATCATTACGCATGTATCTTCTCTTTGGGCCCGGAACAGGCATTTTTCTTCTTCAATATTCTATCTGATCTGATTTTGAAATTCCTTAATAGTTTACTGTACTCGCTACTCTGAGTGGGTTTCTTTCTTTTTTTTTTTCTTTAATTATTTATATTATTATTGTTAATATTATAGTTTTCAAAGACTGATAGGATTCAATATTAGTACTTAAGCACAATATTTTCGGAAGATTTAGTGCTCTCATTTTTTCTATCCCACTTGTACTTATTCATTTTGAAAAATAAAATAAAATAAGGCATAAATATTTCTAGGTGTAGATAACTTCATCTTGATTTTTTATTGGTAAGTATTTTACTCCCCACAAATTCCTTCTAAATTCTTCGCCCTCTTCCTCTTCCTTGACAGCATCATTTTCTTTTCATCATTACTTATTGTTTGTTAGCTTCCTTCCTAGTTGGGTTCCAACGAATTTTGTGAATAGTGAGTTTTTTAAAATTAAAATTTCCAATTTTTTATGATATATGTAGTACGTTTGTTATCAAAGGAAGTTTAAGATGACCATCTAAAAAACATAACATAACAAAGCATATTTTGTTGGATTTTCTGTAGGAGAGAAACTTAACAAAAACTTACTCAAGGAAGATTTAGGACGATTTTGTTACAAATTCAACAAAATTTGCGAACAATCTCCTTAGAAAAAGATTTATTTGGTGATTGAACTCTCATATTTCTTCATTTTTAGTTTTGATTAGATCATCTTCTTATTATTATTTTTTTTAATTTTTAGGTTTCTACCCTATGTAAAAAGAAACCATATGCTTTCAAGAGATGTGAAAAACTTACCAATGAATTTTTACATAAACAAGCATAATTTTTTTAAAAATAAATAACAAAAAACAAAATAGTTTTGGATAGAGAAATAGTTATAAAACCACGCCATTATGCATAGTCAAACGGGAGGAAGAAAATATCCAACACCAACGCCCTGCTAAAGTTTCTAAACCATATAACAAGAAGCTCAGCCAAAGCATTGCTTCAGCCTCAGCCGACACAAAACTCCGAATACTTACTACAACAGAAATAACCATCTTATTTATTTAGTACCTTTGGCTGGCTTGATTTGGCTACTTGTTGTCTAATGTCCCATGGCCAAAAGAGTACAACAATGCCAATGCCAATACCAATATTTAGTGCCCGTGGGGCTTCTCGGAATCCTCTAGACTGGTAGGTCGGAACCAAGCCTTCTCCTCCTCCACCGCGTAGCTGCCACCATTGGCTGCTTTTGCAGCAGCGGCAGTAGGGTGGTCGGTGACCGGCCCAAAGACGCCGGTTTGAGGATGAGGAGCCCAGTATTTATCAGGTTGAGGCTGAATCACCTCATCTGGGACTATGCTTGGCCGAGCTTGCTCGTCTGGGTTCTTGTCATACACTGAGGTGTGGGCAGCCCTCCTGTTTCAGGTTTCAATTCTCTATCCCATAAATATTCCATACAAAATAAAATAAAATAAAAACAATATGATATAGATATACTAACAAAATAGTGGCGCAACCCAATGTAAATATATGGTTTTTGATGTTTTATGACATACCTAACACTTAAATTTTATTTTGAATCTTAAATTTTTTAGTTCTTGAGATTTATTTCTAAAAACTATTAAAAAGAAACCTAATATAGACCTGTGTATTGGTTAACTTGTGTAATTATATACATAAATAAATAATAGCAGACAGGCCTTAGCTTCTAGAATAGATTTAAATTTATGAGTAATAATTATTGATAGATTAATCAGAGAACAAATAATTCTTAAATAAAGCTTGATGGCGTAAACGAGAGTATTGGAAAGTTAAACCAAAATGGATTTACATTTATGAGAAATAATTAATGAAAAGGACTAAAATAGTGTATAGATAAAGTTTAAAGATTGAAATAAAACCCTTTTCAAAAAGTAAAAACATCGAAGCAAAACAGGTTTAAGTTTATAAAAGTAACAAGAAAGAGTAAAGTAATTCTTAAAGATTGAACAAAAATACTAAAAGATCAAGAGAGTAAACTGAATTTTCAATAGTTTTAAAGTACGAAATACAAATAAAGTTTTAGGATAAAATAAGATCTAATTTTATAATTTAATAATAATATGATTGACATTGCAATAATAACCAACAGTTCCAAATGATAAAAACAGCAGAGTCCCACCTACCACGTGGTGGTTCGTATTCCACCCAGCAACTTGATGAAAGTCGCATCAAAAATGCTTTTCAAGTTATTTCCTTTCCCAATAAATAAATAAAAGCACTAAGATTTAAGATTGGGGAGCATGAATTTTGTAATTTATTTAATACGACAACAATATTTTTAGTCAGGTTTTCATTGAATCTCTGACTTTTTTGTTAACATCTATATTTAAAAATTGTTTGGAAGGCACACTAAATATCAACTAAATATGGTTAATTATTGTTCAACTTCCTTTTATTTTTCTCTCTCTTTTTGAGAAGAATATTGTTCAACTTCTGGTATGTATACTGCTTATAAAGTATCTTGTTATCAATGAAATATTCAGTTTTACTCTTAAAAAATAAAAAGTTTCCAATCAGATCTTTGTTTAATATTTCCTTTAAGAATAAATAAAGAAATGACGACGTGGAATCCATTCAGCTAATGTTATTTAAATGATAAAAATCTGATCACTTACCTGCTCTAGAAACTATTGGTTAAAAAGTACACTTCTTGTTTTTAACTCTTGGATCGGATAGGGTTGATTGAATTTTCTTGATCCAATAGTGTAAAATAAATATTTAATATTTGAAACAGATCAATTCAAAGAAAATGGTATTTAAAAATACCAAACCACTATCTTTTTGTTAAATTTCAAGAATTTTCTTCTTTGAAAAATAAAATTTCAAGAACATTGTTAAAAAAGGACTCGTTTGAAAAATATTGACACTATTAGAATGCTAACCAAACTTTCAAAAAACATTAAGCACAAATTATGAGAAATGGTATATAAACCTAAAAGAAAAAAAAAGTGACGTATTGAGCCGTAAATATAAACAAATTTGCAGAAGAAACCAATAATAGTAACAATCACTCTCAATAATTCAAGACAAATATCACATCATTTGGACCCACTTCAACCAAATAAGAGTAGTCTAGAGATGTTAACTTCCAAGGCAAAATTTATCAGACAAAGCTAACGTGAAAAGGAATCATGCTTATTCAATACAGCGAAGGCAATAAGAGATATTTTGAAGACTTACTAGAGAGAGATGTTTGAGAAAGTTGTGGAAAGAAATGACGGAGATTATCAAGGATCCCACATTAACAAGAAAAAGCATCTTACAATTGTTTATAATAAACATGGATTACTACTTTCATTTCTATGTATATTGATATGATAGCATAGTCCAAAAATTTAGTTTTAAGATGAAACACTGTAAATATTGATAGGGATGAGTGTGGAATATCCATAAATCAAGGAAGAAAGCTGCCATAATATGGTTGATAAGAAGGAAACTAGCAATACTTCAAATCTATATCAAATGATTATTTAAGAATTGAATATTATTTTTTTAACATGAATCCAATTGATTATTAGGAGGTAGCTATGATGCAACAGCCTTTTATATATATAATAATTTTTCGTAGGATATCTAGTGATCAACGAATTCCTATCCCATATATCTGGGGATCAACCAGTGGACCTTACTGGATAAGTAAGATAAGAGCCAGCTAGCTCCCTTGATGCAAACAAATTTGATTATGTTACACATGTTCCACTTTGACATGAAAGCAGCAGACATAAAATAGACAAGGAAGTATTCCAGCACTACTCTAAATGGGGAATTTTTCTTATATATGTTATTACAACCCATTTTTAGCGAAATCAGATGATTTCATTCTATGCAGGATTTTTAAATAAAGTAAAAAAATAAAGAGTGGCGTGATTAAGTGTGAACAAATGTATAATTAAAATATTTTAAATTTATATTATAAATTTTCTAAAGACAAAGCCTATGGATTGTTCGAAAATAAAGTCCAGAGATAGTTTTCCTTTTCAAAAAGTGAAAAACACAATTATGCACAGAAGTTACATAAGGCAGAATTATTCACTTATAATTATTTTCAGTTTTGTACTTAATTTAAATGTAATATTTTGAAATTAATACAGAGAAGAAATAAATGAAAGCGCACAGCAAAAAAAAAATTGTTCAACAATTTTTTAAATAAAATCAGAGCAGAAATCAATTCTAGAAAATTAGTTTGAAAAACAACTTTGAAAATACAACAAAACAAACTAAACCAAACAACCTATGACTTACGAGGTTAAAGATACCACATTGAAAAAATAAGAAACCTAACAACAATTTATATTATAAATTAATTACCCTCTCATTACCATTTAATTTTAAAATATAACTTCATCAATATTAATATTTAACTATACAATAAATTTTTTAATACGAATAACTACTTATCGTCGTTTGAATCTTTTTTGGTTTGTTTATATTGGCCTTTAAGTTTACTAGATGTGGGATTTTGAAAAAGCCACGTGGTATCGGATGTACATGAAAAATATCTCAATAGGGATGATGTAGGAGACCAGATGTGTGAAGCTAAGGCTATCCTATCCCATCACAGGCCCTATTGTTTTCTATTAAAGTCAAACCGTCCCGAGCCACCGTGGGAGGGGACACAAAAGGCTCTCTCTCTCTCTCTCTCTCTCTCTCTCTCTCTCTCTCTCTCTCTCTCTCTCTATTATTTGAATTAACTTAGAACTTTTAACTCTAATGTTTATAGCCATATACATCATTAAAATAATTAATTATTATTTCTTTCTTTTTAAATATCAAAACTATGTCAAGTAATTAACAGGAAATCTGGCGACTAATTGTTTTATTTGATTTATAAATAAGCATAATTGATATAAAATTGATTAACCTAATTATTAAGCTTAATTCAAATTAATTAACATTAAAATTATTAACCCACAAAATATCAAATATAGACATTTACTATTTGGGTATCTTTTTTTTAAATGGAATTTAGGTATCATATTTACATAACTTGTAAACAAGCGACTTCTTTTAAGGTAATTTAATGTGAATATATTTAATAAGGAAGATGTAGAATGGAAATAGTTTGAGTGAGCTAAAGTCACCTAATATATATTTATTAAGTTTTGTTTTTAAGTATATATATTTACTAAAGTCAGCAGAACTTGATAACTTGTACTATCTTGAAATTAAAAAGAATTCAAATTTGGACAAATGGCGCCAATCTAACTATTTGACGGCCCAAACGTCCACAAAACAAAGTAATGTTTTTATTATCCAGTCAACAAAGAAGTTATGAGGTTTCCAAATAAATATGGATTCAAACCAGACGTGTCTTACTTTTCTTTTTTTAAAAAATTAATAGTCTAAAGTTGAATGGAGTAACAATCGGCTAATTAATATAAACTAAACTTTATCCTCAAGGAAATTAGCAAAATAAGTTTTGAACCATCTTATAATAAAATTTGATATTTATCATAAAAAATTTAAGAATTTTGATATTTAGCTCTACCATTACACAGAGAATATACAACTGAAATGCAGGGAGTTTAACCTTGTAGGCTTTTAGTGTATAATCTGGCTACTGCATCAATAAAGATCCTACTGCACATGTGTGAAAACTAAAGGAGGATTTGAAGTTCGGAATTATTTCTTTCAAAAAAAAAAAAAAAGAAAAGAAAAACCTACATTTGGAATTTTGTAGTACCGTGATAGGGATAGGTATGAGATTCAAATGACCTTTTAAAGCAAGAATGAAAAAAAGCTTAGAATATCAAATGTTTTTGTTTGTGATATAGGTTCAAATTTTCAAGATTCGTCTTTCGAATATTTTACTATGTTGACTTTCGAATTAAATAATATTTCAAACCATAGTTAATTATAATTAATGAATGTTAAAATCTTCATATTGTTGAATTTTTGCTACAATTAAACTGAAATAATTATAAAGCCAAAAGGCATTGAATATATGATAGGTATAGCACTCCAAAGTCTTTTCACCAAAATTTTACAACTCTTTCTATAAGAGGTCATTTGTTTCTGCATAACAGAAAGTACTATTATGTCTCAGTTTAATTTTTTAAACATAGACATATAATAGTAACTAAATTCAGAAAGCAAGATTACTAAGTAAAATTTAAAAAATCATTCTAATAAACAGAGAATTTGAAATCAAGTAGAGTAAATTAGTAAAATAATAATAATATTAATGAAAATTAAGTACAATAAGTTAATAAATTAATTAAATATGAAGAAAAATAAATTAGTTATTTAATTTTAATATTAATGACTTTTTAATTTTCGCTGTCATATAATCTAAAAGCAATCAAAACAATTACCTAAAGAGCACAAAATAGGCGTACGCCAGATCACCTCCACCTCTTCTCCAAATTTTATCAGAGGAATAGGAATTGACCTTCTCTAATTCCAAGTTATCTTAAGCGGTATCGACTTATGAACAGCGTGAATGAAATGAACAAACACTGTATAAAAAAATTTGACAAAACTTCCAAATTTTTTTAACAAAAAGCAAAGAAAAAAAAAGAAGCATATATAGAATGATGGAGAATATATTTTCTAAGCGAGTTAAGCGAAATATAGGCTAAATAGCATACGGCCGGAAGATCGGATGACGAATTAGAATCCTGAAACCTTTTCTGGAGAAGATTAAAGCCGAAATCAGAAGGAACCGAGAAAAGTCATATGTTCAAAAGAAGAGCAGGGAGCGACGGAAGAGAAAACCTAATCTCACATATTGAAGAAGTTCATCTGATATATTTGTCAGTGTGAAGTCGTTAAAAAAGCAATCAGCGTGAAGACGAAGAAATGCAACAACACAGAACAACTTTTCAGAGAAAATTTCCGCAACAAGAATGCAATCAGCTATCTACCAGAAGATAACGAAACAAAAAAAGAAGCAGCAGCATCTAGATAAACGAACATTCGCACAAGAACAAAACGAATTAAGAGAAGAAGAAAAAGTACCTGAACTTGGGAGCAGAGGAAGAGATCGCGGAGTTGCGAAGTGGATCGCTGGTCCAGATCTGGTTCGTGATTCGTTTCCCCAAGCCGGCGATCGCTCCTGCGCTCCTCGAATTAGCGGCCATACAATTCACGCTTGAAGAGAGCGAATAAAACGATGAAACCAGAAAAATCCCGAAGCAGAGAAAAAGCGTGAGAGATAATGAAGAAGAAGAAAACGGGGAATTAATTGCTTTTTGATTCTCAGCTTCGAATCATTCCTGGCATATCCACTTCTTTTATAGTGCAGCAGTACGGCGTCGTCTTGATCAGCCAAAAGCCGACAAAAGCCTTCGCTTTTTTTAACGCAACTTGCATTCTCCGTCCGTTCCGTCCGCACCTACTTCGCATCCCGCGTACGGAATTTCCCCCTCGTTTTTTATTGGACCACGTGGCGGCCGTTTATTCACGGTCGTTGCATTTTCTTTTTTATTGTTTTTGCAAAGTGGTCGTCGCATCTACCTCCACTGCAACCACCTCCGATGCCGTCATTTAACGGGTTCCGTCTTTTCTATTTTAATTATATATTTTGTTTCTTTCGCTAAAATAATGTCACGTGATAAGATTTGAGACTGCTGAATATCGAATATTTAAATCTTATATTATTTTAATAACCATAATGTACTTGTACTGTTTGAAATAATTACTAAATTTCCCATTTCTTCACTTTATTTAATTTTGTGTTGTCCGCTTTTGTTATTGAAAAAAAGAAATCCCATTTCTTAAAAAAGTTATCGAATATAATTATACAGTTTGATCTTTTTAAATATAAAATTTATTATTATAATTAATAAAGAAACTCGTTTTAAATGTGATAAAGTAGATTGAATTTTGAATTACATGTGGTTTACTGATTTCTTAATTATATGGGAAAAATGATAAAGAGGTGTGGATTTGAAGCATTACTGAGATATTAATAATTTTTATATATCATGACGAACTACTGTTAATTAATTGACTTAGAGTTAACTTATTCGGAATATTTAAAAGTTAATGAAAAAACAACCATTTTTAATTGCATTTTCTATTTTCCACTCATTTGTGATAATTCAATGAATATTGTTTGTACAACAAATGTTATTCATGGTATACCTAGAAAGCTGGTTGGTTGAGCGAGCTAGATGAATAAGAGCCCGTTGAAAAATTACTTGAAAGAAGGACCAGTATAAGAAGACAAACACTCCGACGTTTAAGTTTAGTTTTAGAGTTCAATTTTAATATTGAAATCAAATTAGAATGCGTGGGAACGAGTATCTAGGACGATATGGCGGTATGTCCACTCTCTGCACGTAGTAGGGTCGTTTGACGCTTCCAACAAATATATATCAAACTGTGTATTAAAGAACTATATTCAAATAGTTTTACCCGTTTTATTTGTAAATTGCAATGAGTATGTAACTTTCATTTTTTTTTGAAGAAAAATACGTTTTTAACTTGTTCAAGAAAACAAATAGGATATTTGTATTATAATTATAATTTTTAAGAATAATAATTCAAATAATCAAATTAATCCAATCCATAGTGTACGAATCCTAATTTTTGTATTAAAAAATTTAAAATGAATGGACTATGGAATGGGCCGCAATAATGGGCTAAAGATGGATATAGCACTCATAAGTCATAAGAGTGTCCAACACTTGAGATTTTTTTTATTTTTTTTATTTAGTAATTGTTTTTGGGATTTTACATATATCCTGTAAAATTGAAAAATATTTGTAAGTTTTTAACTTTAAAAAAGGTCTAAAGACAAAATTGATAATTCCTAAAACTTGTCTAAAACGCTGGATGCTTATGGTATTTTTGCGGTTTCCATTTATGCCCTTCATCATTATTATCAAACACAAAATTAACACAACTTTACAATAATGCAATTCACTGGTCCCAACTAAAAGATTAAAGCATTTCAAGTCAATCATAATCGTGTCATAGCCGTAAGGGGCATAAAAGGAAGGAAAATACTTGACTTCTTAACCGTAAGGAGCAACCTTATCCTCACAACTATTAAATATTTGACAACTAAGAATTATAAATGAAAAAAATCCTCGACCTTTCTAGAAAAGATTGAGTAGTTATCAATTTTTCAACCGTGGTCAGGAGAAGATTTGGTAAAAGGAACAGCAAAAAGAATATAATTTGAAGCCACCATATGAAGGGTAATATTGACATATTGATTATAAATTGACTTGAAAATGATAATATTTTCTAATTTTGTCCACTCAATTGAGTTTAAGACCATGGTGTATTTTAAGTATTTTTGCTTTCTTCAATTTCTATGGTCATTTGGTTGAGTGATTTTTAAAATGTAGTAAAACAAATTTCACGATGAAATCTTGAACTTCTTACCTATGGAAAAAGAAGTAGGATGTGTGTTAACCATTGAATTTAAACTCACGTTGGCTACTATTGTATCATACAGTGTACTGAATAATGGTTTCTTGATGAAAGTATTATAAACTACGCTCTCTAAATATTAGATGTTTAATTTCTCATTTTTTTAGTTCAACATGTTGGGGAGGAGATTCGAACTCACAACCTCTTAATTTGAGTATATGTCAATTATCGTTGAGTTATGCTTATTTTGACGATGTTCAAATTCTTATTCCACTCGCTAGAATAAAAAAATATAATATACACCAACCTCACCTTATTTCTGTATATTTTCAGATACAAACAAATAAACAAACTTTTGTTTAAACAATAAATTTCTACAGTTAACATTACCAAAACACAGCCCTTCTTTCCTTCTATACAATTGCATGTCTCTCTCCCTCTCATGCACATACAACAACTCAAAGAAATAAAAAGCCATGCAATTATTTTTTTCATCTCTCTCTCAACTCTCCCATGGCATCCTCCATATTTCTCATATTTCTCACACTACTTTCCATCACCCACAAATCCGCCGGCACCGGCGGTCTGAGCCTGGAACTAATCCGCAACGACTCTCCAAAATCCGCCTTCTTCCGCCGCCGCCCCTCCTCCCAAGCTTGCCCGGAGACCGCCCAGTCGACAATAACGCCGGATAACAGCCAGTTTCTGGTGAAACTGGCCGTCGGAACACCGCCGAGAGACGTGTTCGCAATTCTCGACACCGGCAGCGATCTCTTCTGGACTCAATGCCTCCCCTGTGCGAATTGCTACCCACAAACAAATCCCATTTTCGATCCCTCGAGATCGGAGAGCTTCCGGGAGCTGCCGTGCCCAGCGGCGCTGTGCCACCTGCAGGGCTCCGGGGCGGTGTGCTCCGGCGGCGGCGCGTGTGGGTACAGCTACGGGTACGGAGGGGGGCTGACGGAGGGGAATTTGGCGACGGAAACGGTGGCCGTGAGTTCGAGACTTGGAGAGAGGGTTTGGCCGTTTCAGAACGTCGTGTTTGGTTGTGGTCATAATAACAGCGGCGGTTTTAATCAGAATGAAATGGGATTGATTGGCTTTGGTAGAGGACCCGTTTCCTTCATTTCTCAGGTAAATTTTTTGTTTTTGTTTTTGTTTTTGTTTTTTCTTTTAATCACTACGATTTCTAGCAAAACAAAGAATAAAATTTGATGCTTTTTAATTTTTTCTGAAAAATAGAAAAAATAGTAACCTAAGTTTTCTTTTTATTTTATTTTATTTTTTTTTGCAAAACTAATAAGAAAAATAGCGGGTATAAAATTTAATAAGAAAAATTTCATTCCATAGCATAATTTTAATAAGTAATTTTTTTAAATATCTTTTTTAACGTAACGTAATATTGATTTTTAACGTGTTTTCATTTAAATTTTACTATTTTGTTTTGGTTCTAAACTTTTTGATATATTTGAAAATAAATGTTTATTTTATGATATTTATGTAATTTTCAAAAAAAAAAATAATAATAAAATGAATTACTGTCTATGGAATTGGTAGGGTGTATCAGTTTGTATGAGACTTCTGATTTCATCAAATTAGAATTAAATTTGGATGAGACTTTATCTTAAAGTTTAATGAATGTTGAAATTTTTACTTGCTTTGGTTTGAAGAATGGTTAAGAGAAAAAAGTATTTCGATGGTGTTTAATGAATTTTAAAGCATTTTTTTTTTGTAAGATTAAATTGATGGATCCAGGGAAATATAACTCTAGAGCTATTTTTTTTGAGAGATTTGTTCAATGGTTCGTCTGGTATATTTTGGTCATGCTTAATTTTGTACCATGTTTATTTGTTTGTTTTTTTTAACCTAATTAAGTGAAAATTGCAATACATTTGTCTAAGTATAGGTATCAATTTGAAATTGATACACTTTGTGAATTTCATCCATATAAATTGGTTTTTTCTTTAAATTAATTATATTATAAATTATGATTAGTAAATACATAAAAATATATATATATATATATATATACTTGTTATTAATTTTTAAAATATTTTTTAATATTTATAATTATTTTTTTTAAAATAACAGTATGAATTTCTTAAAATTATTCAACTTAAAGTGAAGTGATAACTAACAATAATTCTACGATAACTATTTCTTATAATTCCATGATTTTTTCCTCTAAATGTATTCATAATATTTGGATTTGGAATTCTCACCCTTGTGCTGATTGAATCAAAGTTCATAACATGTTATTTATTTTCCTTTTTTTAGTACATGATATTCGAACTCACGTTATTCTGGTTGAACAAAGGTATTTTTATTTTTATTTGTTGAACTATATTCATAGGTTGGCAATAGCTATGTTATTTATTTTTTCTAAATTTGTTTTTTTTAATGAGAACTATGTTACTTGTCAATAATAATAACAATAATGATGATGGATGAATAAAAACAAACCTAGTTTAAAGTTTATAAAAGTAATTGAAATTTTGTATATATTGAGAAATTAATAATTATGTACTGTTTATTTAGTCTTTATAAGTTATTGTTAATCTAAACATATTATATATGTACCAAAAAGATTAGATGTTGGAAGCACCACTTCTTGAAATTAACAAAAAAGAAAAAAGAAAAGAAAAAGTAGATAATTTTAAGAAATACTGTCTATTAAAATGACGAGTTTATTATATTCTTATTGAAATAATTGTTTTATTTAATCATAATTTTCAAAATCCAAATTAAAGTCCACGTATTCACAGATAGGCCCATCCATAGGCGGCAGAAAGTTCTCCCACTGCCTGATGCCATTCAACACCGACCCGAGAATTTCAAGCAGCCTCCAACTGGGGTCGGGTTCGGAAGTTCGGGGCCCCGGAGTCATCACGATCCAACTGGTTCCCACGCCCGACCCGACGTTCTACGCTCTCACCCTCACCGGAATCAGCGTCGGAAAAACCTTCCTCCCGTACAGTTCGTCGGGACCGGCGGCGCAGGGGAACGTGATTCTCGATTCCGGCACGCCGCCAACTCTCCTCCCGGAGGATTTTTACAGCCGTTTCGCCGCCGAGGTGCGGCGGCGGATCCGGTGGCGGCCGGTCGGAGCGGGTCTTTGCTACAGAAATGTGAGGAGGTTCGCGGCGCCGCCGGTGACTCTGCACTTCGACGGCGGAGTGGAGTTGCCGCTGAGTACGGTTCAGACGTTCATCCGGAATCGAGATGGGTCGTTTTGCTTCGCTGTGGCAGGAATTTCCGGCACCGGCGGGATCATCGGAAACTTTATGCTGGCGAATTTTTTGGTTGGGTATGATATTGACGAGATGACGGTCTCGTTTAAGAAAGCTGATTGCACTAAAATTGGTTGACAAAATTTAAGCTTGTTTTTTGCTTTATATATGTACTAACATTTTGGGCAATTTTCTATGAAAATAATGCACATTATTGTTTAAGTCTTGTGGTTGACTTATGACTTATTGGTATATATACACCTTGCTCCAACTTCATTAGTCCATACAATTAGGGTTCTTCTTTCTTCAGAATATTGATAAATTGATTCAAACAAAAGAGAATGAATTTGATAATTTTTTTTTCTCTCGAAACATTTAGTCCACTGATATATTAACATCACTGACATGTCAATCAAATAAATTTGAGTAGAAAAAATTGTAATTGATTTATTGATTTCTATTCATATTTTATATCAAGAAGAAATCCAAAAAAATCTATAAAACTAATAAATATTAGGCAGAAATCAATTTATACCCCCATAGACTATAAAACAATATTTGTATTAATCAAAACTTAAACTTTCATAAGGAAAAATAAATTATTTATACTATCTTGGGTTATGATTGAAAATAGTTAATAAACAATTCTCACATAAGTATAGGCTTTTTAAAGGTGAGATTAACGAAATAATAAAAAGAAATGCTAAAATCAAGTGGAGAAAGAAAAAAACGGTAAACATGTGCGAAAATGTCTTCTGAACATGCTATATTAATAAAGAATAGGTGGACATTATTTATTTTCTTTTTCCAAACTCAACTTTGATGTATAAAATAAAAAAATAAAAAAAGAAGAAGAAAGAGGAAGTTTTGTAAATGGTAAATTAGTTGGGATAAAAACATATTCATTCTTTTTTTAACTCACAAACTTTTTACATTAATCAGTTAAGTTATGTTGGATTTGGTGAGTTAAAACTTGTTTGAAGCAAACATGGGGATTAATTTCAACATGCTGAAGTTGCAGTAAATAGTACAGCAAAACAAGTTCAATTTGTTGCAAACATTACATAAACATTCTAAATTTGTAGATATAGTTAACAAATTGAAAATAATGAAATAATCTTGATAGATATATTAATCTATTAGTGACTATGCCACTAATAATAGTATATCAATACTTGATAGACTGTATCAATATAGTCTATTAATAGTATAATATATTCGCTGAAATATTTAATTCCACGTCACATCCAAATTATCTATCTCACCATCTACCATGTCTCTTACGACTACCTTTGGTTCTATGGTTTCTCAAGAGAAGCGATAACAATTTATGATGGTGACAAAGAACTAATTTTTTGATCGAAAATGTATACGATTTATATTTGGATTTGTAAATCTTCACTTAAATTGTGGAATAGTAAATATAATTCTGTGTGCAAGTTTTTTTTTATTTTTAGGACAACAATATGTATAAACGAAGGTTTAAATGTATGATAATAAATTCTTAACCAATTGAGTTATGTTTAGATTATGTCAGTTAAAAATATAGATTGTATTTTTTAAAAAAATATGGTAAGTGCCCGTACCAACTTAAAAAGAGATTGAATGGATTGAAAAACTATTCTAAATGGAATGAAATAAATTAATGTTAGATATTATTTTGTTAAGCGAATACGAGTGTTTCAGAATATTATCTCCCCCTAAAATCTAGAAGTTTGAATCCTAATTCCTACCTTTGATTGAATTAAAAAAATACATATATATATTATATATTTTTTTTTGAAATAGATTGAACTAAAAAAAAAATGTACTAAAAAAAAAACTAAAAAAATATGATTTAGTTTCAATTTAAATCCAGACGAGGGCAACTATTCATCTCCAGAAGCCTGAAAATATTTCCTTTTCTGATTCGCCAAAGACTTATTTTTCTTCTTTCTCAAGTTCTCAACCAAAAAACAATTGTCAGCGACAGCGGGAAAAGGAAAGAAGAAGAAGAAGAAGAACTTTTTTCTGCGTTTGATGGCAAACCACGCAAGCGAAGGGCGGCGGAGTGGTCTCCGGCGCCGGAATCTTCCTTCACCGGCGAGAACGAACCGGCCGTCGCATTTTTTCAGGATAATATTCCCCTCTTCCATTCGGGACAAAAAGCTGGTAATGGTGATTTTCCCCTCATTTTATTTCATCGAAATCCTTAGTTTCCTGTTTGGTTCCAGAGAAAGTTTCCGTTTTCATTGTTTCAAAACATCTTTTGATCGCTTTGGTATTTTGTTTAGGCTCTGTTTCGATTGCTTTAACTTTTTCTGTTTCTTTTTTTTTTTCACTCTCTCACAAACGATGCAGAAATCAGGGCGGAGACAGAAAATTTTCAAAGGGAGGGACAAGATTTTATGTTCTAACTTTTTTTTTTAAATGATTTTTCTCAATGAAAAGTTGGGTTCCTCATTAACAAAAAAAAAAAAAATAAATAAAAAAATCCTTCTTTGCTCTGCCCCTGTAGTCTGTATAATGTGGATTTTGTTGCTCTTATTACTCATGACATGATGACTTGGTTTCATAGAACAATGTAGGTAAGTTTTAGGCTTGATTTGAGGATTTCTTAAGTAACCTTTTGACTTGTCTCACAAGCAATTCGATTTTTTTTTTCTTTTTATACCTGGGAGTCAACTCACCTACTCGGGGATCCACGCCCGCCACTAGGTTCGGACCTGAGAAACACCAAAGACTTTTGGTATTAAGCTCATTGGAAGATTTGAACCTTGAGATCTCTAAATTCTGAACTCTTGCCAACTGGACTGACCCTCAGAACCTCAGACAATTTGATTCTGGAAACAAAGCAATTTGATTTACAGTTTTTTGTTTTCAAATAAAATCTGAATATGAATCTCTCTTCCTACAGGAGATGCCCAAAAATTTTGTTATGATGTTTGGCCAAGAATTATCTTCCAATGCTTTAATAACTGTGCCAAATGGTGGTGTTTGGCAAGTGGGGTTGGAGAAAGCCAATGGCCAAATATGGTTTTGTGATGGTTGGAGCAAGTTTATTGATTATTACTCCATAGATTGTGGCTTCTTGTTGGTCTTCAGATATGGGGGACATTCCACCTTTCAAGTTCTTATTTTTGACACAACTACTTCTGAGATCCAATATCCACATGATGATGGAATGGATCTTGGAGATGCAGTTCAAATATCTGGTGATTCTGTGGCTCCAATCTCTTCTTCTTGTGGCTATTCCGATCGACACATCGAGGATGGAAGTTCGTATCGGGAACATGCTCCAAAGAAAACTTCTTGTAGTTCGAGGCTTGAGAATGATGTGTCTGAAAATTCATTGGAGTCATATGATGTAGGAACTCGAAAGAAATCGAAAAGAAAGTTGGAAATTCTTAGCTGTGGGATCAAGAGAAAGAGCAAAAGGTGTAAAGTTGAGGAGCATGACAAGGTGGAAGATTTTGATGTGAAGAAAAATGATTCGAGGTAAGTTCTACATTCAACTTACATATAACTTTTTTTGTTGTTTAGCTAAGTGGTTTCAGCTCAGAGAGTGATTCAAAGTTCTTATGGCATGGAATGACACGAGATAGATCCTTCAAAGAAATTAGTCAATTCTCATTTAGAATCCTTCCGATCTACTCTTTTTCTTATTTTAAGATTAGTCTTTTGTCTCTGTATTTTTACAAAAGATGTCAGAGTGGCTACTTATTCCCTAAACAGATCTTCCTACATCTATATATAAGCTTTGGTTTATAAAATATATGCAAGAAGCACTTCAGAGATGACTTAGAACCTTAGTTTCATTATCTAATGATTTTTTTCCATTGGTTTAATTTGATTTGGTATCCGACGAAAATTGATGGTTAAACTAGCATATCAGTTTATAAAAGAGTATAATACTCGAACGAAACTCGAATGCTAATGAGAAATCTTTATTCGTTTACAGACAAAAGCTGCCTTCTCAAACCCGAATCAAAACATCCGATGGACAGGAGATGGCGATACGTGCAGCCACCAAGAAGCTCAAGACCAAGAATCCTTCATTCATGGTGATCATGCAGAAGAGAAACATAGAGAAAACTTATGTGGTGAAGCTTCTATACTCTTTCTCTGCAGTTAGTACATTGGCAAATGAATTTTGCTCAATATCAGTTTGGCCAATCTTTCAAACTTGCTTTCTGTGCAGTACATTCCTTCCAGTTTTTCCAACAAGTATTTGAGTAGCAAGGACGAAATCATCGAACTTCAGGCCGGTTTCGAGGGGCGAAAATGGGAGATTTACTGCTACGGTACGGGAAGGACGTCGAAGAGAATGGGAAGAGGATGGAGGGAGTTTTCAAGGGAAAACAATCTGAGAGCTGGAGATGTGATTGTGTTTGAGCTTGTTGAGAGGAGCAGGATCAATGTGCTGGATTTTACTGTGTTTTCTTCAGCTGAAAAATGAAGCAAACCAAGTGACTTGAACTTGTGGTGTACTGATTTTGTAGTTTTGGCTGTAAATACTTGAACAAACCACATGGTCTGATCTGGAGGCATAGTTTTGGGGAGGGTATTTAGGGTATTTTGCTCCGATGAGGCTGCATTTGCTTGTCGAGAATTGGTATCATCCTCTCTCGTTTCTATTGTTGACTTTTAGAACTCGCGGACACAGTAGTACGACCTATAGTGCTCAAGATGGTTATTGTTGGCATTTTATCACGAACAAGAATCAGATGACAGATTCTTACAAGGAAAAAGGTAAATAATTCTATTTTGAATTTTTTATAATTACTTTCTTGTATGATCTCATATGTAATTCAAATGGAGTGACGTTTAAAGGAGTGAGTARATCAAACAAAAATAAATATCAAACTTGAACATAATTCAACTAATTAAGATATATAACTTTGACTAAAAAACAAGAGACAAACTCTCACTTCCACATGTTAAAAAAATTAATCAAATGAAATTCTAATATACCTTTTTTTTATGATTTCAAAATAACTTTAGTATACTTATTTGATTGATTTAAAAAATGATGGATCATTAACATCTTAAATTCAATCAACAAAATCAATTTCAGTTTAGTTATAAAAATGTTCAAATGCCACCTACAAAATAAAATTTACTAGAAAAAGTGCATAAATTTGGCCAAAACAAAATTTAGAGCCGTTTTTATTTTGGAAATACATGAGAAAGACATTAAAATTTGAATAATTTTTTTGCTTACAACTAATGCTGATACTAAAAACTTTAATTAACGGGAAAAAGAAAAACTTATCCCTTAAATACCATTAAATATTCGAAAACTCATTATTTTTTTGATTAAATATTTCTCTCTTAATGGTTAAATATTTAATGGAATTAAGGAAAAAGTTCCTCCTTAATTTTAAGGAGCTCAAAGTTTAATAGTATTTGACAAATTCTTSTTTAATACTATTAAATATGTGACAAATTTATTATTATTTTTGTTTATACCTCAATGCATATCTCCCCAGTATAATTCAACAAATATAGTTATTTCTCTAAATATTGTAATTATTTAATAAAATTAAAATTTTGAAGGACGAATATTATTAGGACTATATTGTAATTTTGTCCTAGTTAGTTGGGTATTAGTTGTACAGTTTATTCCT